TTCAAAACAACGTTTTGAAGAGCAACGATTATCATTTAAATAGATTTATTGTGAGACATTCGAACGGCCCATTAAATCCGAGTAAAGATAATCCAGAGAATGAGTTCGTTTCCGTTAAATCAGATACAAATTTTGTTTTTATTGTTTTTCATTCATCAATTCAACAGCCAAAACACCGTTGTTACTATGGTTATTACTTCAAAATTTTTATCATTAACAAAAAAGAAACTACCTTCTGATTTTGCGGCTGTACACCAATGAAATCGCCTCTTTGCAAAATTTGATTACCATGATTTTGTGTGATTAATTCGCGTCTAACTGCAGTAATGCTCCTTGCAGTTTCTTGAACTGATTTCGTCGACAATAACTTCGAAGCAGTCGTGAGCAAACATTTTGCATTATTCAACGTCTTCCTACTGCACTGCATCTTTAATTAACGTGCTTTGTTCGGTCGGCAGTAGATTTAGTGAAAATATTTGATAAGATTAAATTGTACTCCACGATGGTTCGATTCATTCGACTCGATACAAACCAAACGTGTAACGAGAAGTGATCATGCCTCAACGATGATTCCAATGATTATACCGCTTAGCATGCCATCCTTCCGCAGTAACTCATGCAAATAAGCACTCCAATGAAGATGTAAACGGAGGATAACACTTCAGTACTTTGCTAAGTAACACTTCAGTAGAAAATTGAGGAGGAAACGCCTTAAAATTAAAATTAAAGTGAAAGTGAAATGTGAGAGTATTTTGTTTGTGTTTTGATATTAATTATATATTAAATAAATGAATTTATCTTATCTGATGTATTCACTCACACCGCAGAAAATTAACTGAGCTCTTACTTATAGTTATATTAGTTATAGTTATATACTTATATTTGTGCTTTATAGTTATGTAGTTATATGCATTGCTCAAAAAGCGAACCGAAATGAAGTTTGTGTGACCAACTACGAGCTTGCCAACTGTTGGGCTTGCAATTGTCGCTATTGGATCTGTCGTAGGATAGCAAATGAAAATCACTAGATAGCGGGTTAATTGGTTCTTTTTTAATTGTCCTTGAATTACTTTTAATTAGATGGGTGACCTCATAATGCTCTGTTGGTCAAGTATTTCTGAATAGATCAAGTATTCTAGAAAAAGTAATATATACTCTGCAAGTCACAGCAGAACTGGTCTCTAACACAATCAATCAGCCGTAAGCGCGGTTCTCGTCTTTTTCTAGTCTCCATTGATGTGTATTTGGTCAGATATTTCCTCACCGAATGTATCGCTATTCTAATAATATGCGGATTCTGGTTGATGACTCTCACCATATCATTGCCCTCCTTACCATTCATGTTGGCAAATTTGTCGTTAATGGATGCTGATCTTGATTGTTCTGAATTGTATCATGAGCTGGCGAAATTAGATCCAATTTGATTCAGCCGAAATTTTTCGAATTCATTCGATAGAACTGATATTCGGAATTGTGCAAATAGGTTCAGTCAGATTTCGACCGAACAAAACTTTCATTCAGTTACCATCAGCCGTTCAGAGGCAGTCTAATGTAAGATCCGCTGACGACTGTTAATATAATTTTGCAAACAATCAATTGAATAAATTAAGAGAGGCTATCAGGCAGTGGACGTGACGTTGCGTTGTCTCGTCCTCAACAGCGAGTGAAACTCGAACCATCTTCCGCATGGAGATGGACGATGAATCAACTCTCAAGGATATGAATACAACGGACCTTCCAGGATCATCTCGTCACGAAGTATGCAGAGTGATTCATTGTATTCATTCTCATTAATCTGCTGTTCCAAGCCTGACATGAGCAAGAATCGTGTTATGTTTAACGCTAGAAAAGTACCAGTGACATTCGAATTATCATAAACATCCCGTCGAATTCTTAAGAATTGCTCCTTGAATAATCTTATAAAAGCATAACATCCAAAATTCTTCCACATTCCAGCTCTTCTCAAGTCGGCGCAGATCTGCATCAGTTGTTTGTGAGCGGAGTGGTGAAGAAATAATGAAATGTGTATGTTCTTATTACCCTACTGGCACTTTTATCGTTGCTGTAGAATGAACTTTCAATTTCAGCTTCCAATTTTTTGACCTGGAAAGAGCTTGACATTAGATTTGAGCTTCCAATTTGGCTAAAATTTGTTCGACTTCGAACTGGATATTTGGTTGGGACTTTCTTGTGCTGAACAGTGCGGGACCGAGCGAATTTGGTTTCGGCGATAGGCTAAAAGAATCACCCAAATGTAAATTCTGCGACCAGTTTCAGTAAGTGAATAATTTTGCTGTTACAGTTCCAACAACAAAAACGTAAATTGTCAACGTACACCGAAACAATCAAAGAGAAGAAACCAGCTCTAATGTAAGTGTAAACTTTATCCTCTTTAATTTAATTTTCCAAATTTTAAGAAATGTTATCCGAACTGATTCAGATGCGAAACTGTATAGGTAAAGTTTGTTTGTTGAGTCGGGCATCAGTTCGATGGTATGAAGTGCGATGAAATTAAGGAAATAGTAAACATAACTAAGTGAGTATTGAATTAGAAATTTAATACTCACCAACCGCGATATTGCTCGGTATGTGCATAAATTAAAATGCCATTCGATATGGTACATCTTTAAATTCAAAATAAAACTGACACCAACTGACGAGGGAATGAGAAAAGTTTCCGTCGTGATTGACTGACGTATTTTATTCTGAATGCCATTGGTTTGTTATAATTCTGTCATTCGGATTGTTGTGTTCATTGAGAGGCTGAAAGGGTAGACGTCTGCGTCGTGCGCCTGCATCGTTTTTATGAAAGATTTTAGCTAATTGAATTTTGTTTTCAACTCAGAGTGCAAACTTAATATAGTGCGCTAAAGCAGCAGCAGTCACGTTATTGATTCGCACCAGTTATGTGCGTGCTTAAGTTTACGTCAGACATTCACCAGACACTATAATAGATATTTCGAGTTTACTGTTTTATTTCATTTCATTTCATTGAGTAGCACCTTTCACAGTAGTGTTGATGGAGGTAAATCTGAATAATGTTAATATTTGAATGGCTCATAAGTGATGGATTTGCATGAATTATGCATAATTTAATGTTGTCTCGTGGCATTATTTGTCATTTATGCACATTCATCGTTGTTGGTCAGGTGTTTGAAATTGAATTGTTGAATGTAACTTTTTATTTTTTACATTGTTTTCATAATGCATCGTTCTCGGAATAACATGACGATGCGATCGGTCGNACAACGAAAGTCTCCATTTTGCACTAGATTTATTTAGTAGTTTGAGCCTAGAACTGGTGTCCAATTAAGAGCAGACTACTGTCTGAGCGTGGAGTTAGATCTACATGTAAAACTTACGATTTTAAATTAAAAGTTGGCATTGTGGTCAGTATGAATGTTGTGGTTGATCGCATAAAGCGTAGTGATCAAATTTGCAGAGGTCGTCCATCGATGAATCATCAGTCACAGTTAGCTGCTGATATTCACTCGCAATCGTCATCCAGTCATATCCGTGACAATAATAATTCTCAGAATCAAATCAAACCACTTCCCGAATGTGAAGGTCTATTACGCCGATTAAACAATGCCAACTGCGGGTGTGTAATTCATATTTGATTGTTCAGTTGTTTTACTGCATTGCGTATTTAAGTTGCCTTTAAACGAAAATCATTTGGAATTAACCCATCGCCCATATATGCCTCCTATATTCGTTATTTTTCGACATCTGTCTTTGCATACACCTAAATGATTTGAGTAAACCACTCAGCGATGCATCTTCATGAATTTTATATCGATTAATAATGCAGATGTAGGACTGCTTTCAATTTTATATTCACAATTACTATTATTTCTGTCAGCTTTACAATTCGAATCTTTATAATACGTGCATTCTTTATCCACAGTTTGTTGCAGTTCAAATATTTGGTGATAAATTATCAGCAGTAAAGGGTAAAGCAGTCATTTATGTTTCAATTGCAGGTCATCAATAGGTAATGTGGACTATTTACCGCATATGGTTGATAATGGCTGTAGTGGTGATGAATATACACATATTGATAGCAATGATAAAGAGACGTATCGTATCGATTCACCGATATCACCGGAAGAGGACGAAGCGATTGAAGATGAACGGGCTAGAGAGAAGAATTTTGAGGTGGTTAGTAGGCAGGAAGGAGTGATTGATGACGAGCAACTTGTTGACGATACGGGTGATGGTATCTGTAGATACGACGAAGACGTCATCAAATGGGTCGATATTTTTAAGGTATTTTCTGATGGTTCATTTGAGTTGCTGATGATAATGTGGCACAAGCCACTCATAGAAAAAGCACCGTAAATCTCACTCTGACATTGGAAAAGCGAAGACTGTCATTAACTGTGCTTAGCTATTCCCTCTTCCTCTCCTCTCTCTAATCCTTCAAAAAATTTTACTTCCTTCCTGAAACAAAAGTGATTTTGCATATTCTTCCCATCAGTTCAACAAAAGAAACTAGAGAATCCAAAGAGATATATGTTGAGATCTTGGTGAGATGTAAATTTCCGAATAGATTTACTGGGTGATTTGAGGTTG